TCTCTCAAATGCTTTCCAAATTAATTCCCAAGGCCCTTAAGCCACATGGCCAGGCAACATCACAGCAATGACCCTATTCTCAGTACCAATTTTGTTGTAGTCAGGGTCTGCAGGGGAATAGATTTAATACAGGAGTCATAATTTATAGGATTATTTTATATTATTAACCCAAAAGTCAAATGCAGAGGAGCGCAAGAGATATGTCCACACACTAGAATCCAAAGAATCCAGCGGAGGGCCTGGATCCCACAGCAGTGTCCTGTACAAGTTTAGCTTAAGGCCTAGAGCCTAAGGGAATGTCCTCTAAGAGTCCAGCCGGAGGCCTGGAGCCCATGGCAATGTCTCATGTAACAGTGATATACACACACTCATGTTTTTATATGGGCACAGTTTGTAATAGCTAAATCTTGGAAACAGCCCAAATGCTCATCAACTGACTAATGAATAAAGAAGATGTATTTAAAAAAAAATACAATGGGATACTATTTTGCCATAAAGAAAGATAAGCTTGAGATACTTCTAGCTAAATGGATACACTTTGAGACCATACTCTTAATTGAAATCATTCTGACACACATGTTTAAATACAGCATTGTTTCTCTGGTGTGAGAAACTGATAGTAGAAATAAGGTCCAAAATGTATAATAGATATTGGAAAATGGGAAGAAAATGTTCAAATGAGAGGAGGAACAACGGAGGGGGCAGGGGGGAGAAAAAAAAACCTTATGAACACAGGACAGAGGACAATCAAGAAATAAGAAAATACTGTAGGAACCAGGTATAGTGGTGCATCTAATCCTAGCACTCAGGAGACTGAGGCAGGAGGATCACTGTGAGTTTGAGGCCATCCTGGGCTATATAGTGAGTTCATGGCCAACTTGAACTACATAGTGAGACTCCATCTCCAAAAACCAAACCAACCAAACAAACACTGTATGAAAGCAATCCAAATGAGAACAAAAGTACTTTTAACCTATAGACTAATGTTAAAAATTAATTGAGCCAGGCATCATAGGGTACACTGGTAATCCCAGCACTTGAAGGCTGAAGCAGGAGGATCACTATGAGTTCAAGGTCAGCCTGGGCTACATACATAGTGAGCTCAAAGCTAGCCTGGAATAATACCCAAAACCAAAACAAAGTAAAACAACAACAACAAAACAAAAAGAAAACAAAAACAAACAAAATGAACATAATTAAAACATAGTCTTTCTGGAAAGAAGGGAAAGGAAAAAATGATGAGAAATGGAAAAAATGGAAATAAAGTCTTTGTAAATAGGGAAGGGTGGAGGGTGTGAAGGGAGGGCTAGGAATGAGGAAAAAATAAGAACCAAGATGCATTATATAAAGGTACAATTCCCAATGAAAAAAAAACAAAAAACAAAAAACATAGTCTTTCTTTTTGGTACCGGGGCTCGAACTTGGGTCCTTGCGCTTGCGAGGCAGGTGGCAGAACTACTGAGCTAAATCCCTGGCCCAACGGGATCTTTTTAAGTCATAGAAAATCTGGATTTTAGTGACAGTTGTACAAGTATGAAAATTGACCTAGCATCATTGAATTCTACTCTAAAAATAGATGAAATTATTCCTCAATAAAACTGTTACATACATATTACCTATTGTTTGATATGAGTGAAATGACTAAGTTCTGTCCAGGAAAAAAATTTGATTGCCTTTAGCTTTTAAAATCAATATGGCAGGATCTTAAACTTACTTCTCAGGATTTTGGGGCTTCTATCATTTGGAGCTAGGAAGTCTGAGATTTTTCTTTTCTTTCAATGCATTTGTGCAACATAAAACTTCTTCTAAGTTACCTATCCCTCAAATCACTCTGTGGTGTCATGGGGAATTCCTGCAGTGATCATGCTTCCACTCAAGAAAGCCAGGTTAAAACTCAGCAGATAACTCTGTACTCATTCAAATGCTATACTCACAAGATTACAACATGTAAGCATACTACCATTGCTTTACTGAAGACATTGAGTAAATAGTGATATAACATACGGCCGTTACAGATAGCAACAAAATAACACCTAAGATCTCTCTATTGGAAGAGATAAAACCCAAGCTTGACCTAGTTTAAGTAAAAAAGAGGATCATATTTGATCACACACACAGTTAAGGAAAGGGGGAGATGTATCTGGATACCTCTCCATCTTTGTTCTGAGTATAAGCTCCACTCTCCCCCAAACAGCCCCTGTGCGTGGACTTCTCCCAACTCCAGATTCCTAACAACTCTGAAAGACAAAGGTGCTCTTCTTTAGGAGCTCCACTTAAATCTTTGGTGGAGAACTCTGGCCCACCCAGCTGGTAGCCCATGCCACCTCTGTTTCTAGAAGGGAGAGATGGAAATAGTTACTGAGAACATAAACATACAAGATGCTTGGAGTAGTATTAGCTTCCAAATTTCTGACTAGCTTCCAGTTAGAGATCGTATCTTCTCCACGTGTAGGAGAAGTTCACCAATTCTAATGACAATTGTTGCCATTCATGCTGTAAGTAACATTGTACCTACTATGTACAAGGCATTCTGCCAGGTGATCATATTTAAGATTCACAACCCTGACAGGTTATTATTTTCCTATTTTACAAGCAGTGGTGATACTCTTCATTCATAGTCTTTAAAAGATAAGCAAGAACCTTGGGAGAAAAAGAATTCATTGCTCCTGCTTGTGCCTTGTCTGCATTCCTCCTTTTCTCTTTTAAAAATAACTCAGCCCTTTAAAAGTTGGCTATACTTTTTCTTTGGACCTTAGTGGGAGGGGTAGGGGAAAGGAAAGAAGGGAAAGGAATAAATATAAGAACAGGAAAAAATGGAAACAAAATCTTTGTAAGTAGGGAGGAGTGGAGGGGTTGAAGGGAGGCCAGGAGAATGGGGAAAAAAATAAGAACCAAGACATATTATGTAAAGGTACAAATTCCCAATAATGAATATCAGCATATTGTATACCTAAAATGTATCAATAAAATTAATACATGTTTTAAAAGTTTGCTATACTGAATTGCAACTATATTAACTGCAATTCTCTCATTCGTTTCATATTGAAACAAGGACATTTTTAGTAAGTTTCTCAACTCATGCTTTAGGAATATTTTTGGGAAAAAACATGATAGTATATCAAGGTTTTGACCTATATTGATTCCTCTACAGACTGGTCTGTGCAACATTTTTATTGCTTAACAGCTTTCTGGAATCTTTTTTAGCATGTTGTCCTAATTTTTTTCCCTCTCTTAAAACAAAACAAACCAAACAAAAAGGAAAGCAAAACAAACCCTAGGAAAGTTTCTTTCTCTGCATCTCTACTAAAACCCAAGAGATTTCCATCTTGCCTCACTCAGAAATGGCTAATTAGCTCATGAAGTGTTGGTTGGGCTGCTACCAGTTGCTTCCTTCTGAGCTGAGTATAGTCTTGGGAACACAACAGACATGTTGCCTGCTGTGTGTTTTGGGGGACATAAGCCACTTACTTTTGCTTCCTCTCGTAGTACCTACTTCATAGAATTATTGAGAGGATAGAAAGAAATAGCATATAAAGAACAGGGAAATACAAGCTATCCAAGAAGCGTTATCTATTTTAATTATATTCCATTTAGCAAATACTGTGTCAGACAAATGTTTGAGCACATACAGACAATGATAAAGAACTCATTCTTTGCCTCCAAGAAATTTACCAATTAACAGTGTGGTATCTCATCAAGTAAGTGTGATATCTCATCAAGTAAACTGGAGCCCCGCCCCCACAACTTTTTAAGAAAGTAAGTGACATGGGGAGACATTGCCACAATAGGGTATGGGTAAGAAGTACGAATAACAAGGACCAACAGGAAGGGGTTGATAAAAACACTGAATAAGACAGTAAACAAGACAGGCTGGTGGCTGTGGTAGGATGATTGCTTGAATTCAGAGTTTAAGACCAGTCTGGGCCTTGCAGTGAGATCTCATTAAAAACAAAACAAAACAGGGCCAGGGATTTAGCTCAGTGGTTCTGCCGCTTGCCTCGCCAACTCAAGGATTCAAATTCAATCCCTGGTAGCAAAAAACAAAACAAAACACCAAGACAAACAAAACAGTGAACATGCCCAGTGGTCTTTTATTTTTTTTGGTGCCAGGGATCGAACTTACCTTGCCTTTCGCTTGTGGGGCAGGCAGCGGCACCATTGAGCTAAATTCCCGGCCCTACCCAATGGTCTCTTTAATATAGTAAACTTGGAGTACTATCAGGAAATAAGGATGGAAATGTAAATGTATAAGATTGGAAACAACAAAAAGTATGTATTTCATTTATTTATTTATTTTTTGGTGCTAGGGTCAAACTCAGGGCCTGGCTCACGATAGGCAAGCACTCTTCCACTGAGCTACACCGGCAGCCCCTGTGATTGAGTTTTCTAAAATTAGAAACATTAGAAGATTAACCTGGAAATAATGTGAGGTTAAGAACTGACGAGGGAGGTAAGCAGAGGCTGTTTCAATAATAGTCATTCAGTAGAAGCTAAGGCTTAGGTTACAGAATCAGCATCTCAAAACGAAATGCAGAAGAGTTAAGATGTGTTATATGAACCTATACCAACTCCTCACGATTAATATATTCACTATGTACTTCAAACGTGCACTAATAGAAATACAAAAAAAATGAAAAAAAACTCAGACGCCCAAAACACAGCTGCAAGATATTGTGTATAATTCTTTTTTTCTGTACTGGGGATCGAACTCGGGTCCTTACACTTGTTGTGTATAATTCTTACAGTCCTTCTTTCAGTAGTGCTGAAGTTTGAAAGCTGAGAGCCGGGAGGCGGGGTCAAGAGCACGGAGGCGGGGTCAGGCTGGCGGGAGGGGCGGGAACAGGCGCCGGAGCCCCAGGGGGCGTGTCCGGGGCGGGGCCGCGGGCAGAGGTGCCCGCAGCCCCGGGGTATCGCGAGAGTTGGGCGGGCCGAGCCGAGGCGTCGCAGCAGTCAATTCCCCCACCCTCCTGGGAGGAGCCGCCGGCCCTGGGCTCTCGGAATTCTGAGCTCTCATCATGGCGGCGGCCGCGGCGGCCGTCGGGGGGCCGCAGCCGCCCCAGCCCGAGCTGCCCGCGCAGGGGCTGGCCCTCGACAAGGCGGCCACTGCGGCGCACCTGAAGGCGGCCCTCAGCCGGCCGGACAACCGCGCAGGTGCCGAGGAGCTGCAAGCGCTGCTGGAGCGGGTGCTGAGCGCCGAGCGGCCGCTGGCTGAGGCTGCAGGCGGCGAGGGGGCGGTGGGCGGCGGCGGGGGCGGCCCGGGCACGGCCGAGGAGGAGGCCCTGGAGTGGTGCAAGTGCCTGCTGGCTGGCGGCGGCGGCTACGAGGAGTTCTGCGCGGCGGTGCGGGCCTACGACCCCGCGGCGCTGTGCGGCCTGGTGTGGACTGCCAACTTCGTGGCCTACCGCTGCCGGACGTGCGGCATCTCCCCCTGCATGTCGCTGTGCGCCGAGTGCTTCCACCAGGGCGACCACACCGGACACGACTTCAACATGTTCCGCAGCCAGGCCGGGGGCGCCTGCGACTGCGGGGACAGCAACGTGATGCGGGAGAGCGGGTGAGCGGGGCCCTCCCGGGCGAGGCGACTCCGCCGGGCGGGGGACACGCAGGCGGCTCAGACTCAGTTGCGGGGCGCAGGGTGGGAGCCGACCCCGAGCTGTCAAGCGACGCGCTTGGGGGAGGGCTCAGCTGCACCAGGATGGAGGTGACTGAGCTGTCAGGGCTGGGAAGGGGCGGGGAGGAGGGGAGAACATGTGTCGGGAGCTGGGCTGTGGATTTTCAGGGGGCCCCGGGCGGGAGAGTGAGAGGCAGGGAAGACCCAGCGCGCGAGGTAGGAAGGGAGGACACTGGCAGAGTCTGTTGTGAAGCTGTCAGTTGTGTACTTGTTGAGAAAGGCTGGAAAGCTGCCTGCCTGGTTGTTGAGACTTAGGAAGTGATTTGGACTGGGAGGCGGGTCGTTTTGGGAACTGAGTGGGGCCGAAGGACGATGAGAGTTGGGGAGGTGGTCTTGGAACCGCAGGAAAGGACACTTGGGCAAAAGGCTTCTGAACTGCCTGGGGGTCTGTGAGGGAAGGAGCTCCTCTGCTGAGGGGGGTTGCGGGAGGAGGGAAGGGGAGGGGCCTGCATGAAAAGTGGCTGTTGAGCTGTCAGTGGAGTATTTGGTGTGCCTGAGTGACATCTAGAATTGGGCTACTGAGCAGTCAGTTACAGAATACTCTTCATACCAGAAGAACAAACAGGACACTGAGCGAATTAGCAATCAAATGTTAGGTCTTCTCCAGATCAGGGCACTTTAATCACTGCCTAGTATGGGATCACCTGACTTGGCAAATGCATCCAACAAGAGCTTGCAGTTTTAACAGGACAGATGCATCAGGTGTTGGGATTTACAACAAAAGACAACATTCAAAGTGTGCAGTGAGTTAAAAGAGTTGGGGGCCGGGGATTTGATCAGTGGTTCCGCTGCCTGCCTCGCAAGCGCAAGGTCGCGAGTTCGATCCCTGGTACCAAAAAAAAAAAAAAAAAGTTGGTACATGTCGAATCTTGGTTTGGGACATGATGTCAGTGTCAGGGAAAGTCCTGAGCAAAAAAGAAAGAACTTTGTGAAAAAGTGGTAGTAGTTTAAAGAACATTAGTAAATCCAGTTATTTTTTAATTTTTTATAATGATAGAGTATATAAATTTTTAAAGAAATGGGTAGTTTCTTCATCTTTTTGGAGTACTTGTGCTGTTATTCTAAAATGTTTTTACTTATTATGTTCAATAAGTAAGGCATTTTGAATATTTAAAATGAATGAGATGTTGACCTACCCTTTAATCTACTCTGCTAGTGTAGAAGGTGATACAGTCTTTAAATAGCAGTCTGGAAGTTAAAGGAAGGAGAGGAGGCTTCTGTGTACAGGGAATAAGAAAATGGCTTTAGAAGTGAGGTATTTTGCTAATAACAGTATGCAGCTAGCATTTGAGATCTGGAAATGTATGCCTGACACTTTAAAAATAAAGTTTAGCATTTGAAAAATATTGAATAAAATACTTATATAGCTAAAAAAGCCCCAATATTATAATAAAAATACACAGTTTGAAATTTCCCTATCTGCTCAGTTATTTATTTTCTCTTAGTGCAGGACAAGGAAGGTTAGCTGTTTCCTAATTTTGTTGTTTCTTTTTATGTAAAAGGTAACATACTTTGCACTGCTCTGTTATCTTGTTTTTCACTTTTCCTATCAGTGTCCTCATTGTGTTCTCTAAAAGCTGTTATATGGGGACCGGGGATTTAGCTCAGTGGTTCTGCTGCCTGCCTCACAAGCACAAGGTACTGAGTTTGATCCCCGGTACCAAAAAAAAAAAAAAAAAGCTGTTATGTGGTATTCCATGTCATGAATTTGCCACCCTTATTTAATAAACTTTTCTGATGGGTATTTAGGTTTCCAGTATAAAATGGAAAAACTGGTATGCCTATCTTTTCACACCTGTGCAAGAATATCAGTGGGGTAAATTCTTAAAAGTGGGCTTTCTAAATTGTCTTCCATATGCTTATTACTAAGCAGCCTTATTATAACAACCTTATTAACAGTGTTATTAAAACTCTGAACTTTTTATTTATTTATTTGGTTAAAAGCAGTCAAATGTAACTGCTTTCCATGATTTAGCTCATTTAATCTTCAAGAATTTTGAGATAGCTGGTTTTATAGAAGAGGAAAGTAGAGCACAGAATTTAAAAATTTGGGCCAGCAATGGTGGGGGACACCCATAATCTCAGTACTCGAAGGCTGAGGCAGGAGGATTGCTTTTACTTGGAGGCCAGCCTGGGGTCCGTGGTGAGTTTGAGGCCAGCCTGAACAACATAGTGAGACCCTGCCTCAAAAAAAAAAAAAAAAAATTTGTTCAAGAGCTGGGCATAGTTGCTCATGTTTGTAATCTCAGCTACTGAGAGAGGCTGAGGTAGGAGAATCATAAGTTCAAAGTCAGTCTGGGCAACATAGCAAGAATGTATCTAAGAATAAAATAAAGTGCTGTAGTGCAGCACTCCTTGGATTTTATCTCTAGTACTTCAAACTAAC